GTGTCCTACTCTGCCCTCGTGCGGCCTGTGCTGGTCACTTCGGCCCGTTCTCTCCGCCAGCCCCTCACGGTTCGCATGGCCCAGCCCCCTACGGTGAGAGTGCTCAGGGTCACAGGGTGAGGCAGCGACTGAGGCTCAGTCAGTAGGCGCAGAGCTGGGGTCTGAACCGCGTCTAGGACTCCAGAGCCGGGACCCCGCCCAGCACATGGGCCTGTGGAGGGAGCACCCCAGATTTCCCCAATGGGCGGGCCTGCGCTGGAGCCCCAGCCTCCCGAGAGCCGGCTGGGGTGACCCAGGTCGACATCAGCAGCAAGGCTGGCCTGACCCAGCCCCTCGAATCCGGGAGCCGGAGCCGGGAAAGGGGACAGTAGAATGTGCCCCCTGGAGGTGGCTCTGGGCAGGACGTTGGAGGGGGCACCAGCAGACTCTTCCCACCTCCTGGGGTGATCACAGCGTAGTCTAGTGACCAGGAGAGTGGGGGCATCAGGAAGCACCTGGCATCGCTTTGCTGTGAGGTTGCCCCAACTGGAGAGAGAGTGACCCCAGGGTGGGTGGGTGGGGATGGGCCTGGGCACCCTTTGCTGCTGGGGCGGTGGGGACACCTGGGACCCTTTGCAGCCCCTGCAGTCTTATGTCCAGCCAGAGGGAGCACGCTCTCCTGTGTCCCCGGATGTCCCAAGCCCTCCCACCTCTGCAGTGCTCTTTCCTGTCCTGGATGGCCCCTCCCTCCCTCCCCACCCACCCAGCCAACTCCTCCCCATCCCTGGGGCTTCGCCCAAGCTGCTGTTTCTTGGGATGTGTGTGGGGGGCGGGGGTTGGGGGGTCCTGCGCTCCTGTGGCTTCCTGAGCGAGGCTCTCCTGCTACCTTGAGAGCACCACGCTGAAGGCCCGCGGTTCAGAGTCCAGGCCTGGGCGCTCAGCCTCGCCCCTTCCCTGGCGCTGTTCTGGAGCCTCAGCCCCATCCACCTGCTCACCCCTGGTTCTCAGCCCCCACCCCAACAGGTACAGGAATTTAAATTGCTCTCAATTGAAGACTCTGGAGAATGGTGCAAAGCACCGAGGCCCCAGGGGCAGCCCCGCCCCTGGCCAGGCACTCCCTTCAAGGAGCCCCAATCCCAAGGCAGTTTACCCCATAAAGTGGAGCCGGGACGCGGCCACTCTGAAGGAGGTGGGCGGGGCTGCCCTTCGGGAAAGCGGAGGGC